TGGATTTCAGACCAAGCCAAATCGAGGTTGGCAGCCGCAACAAGGAGTTTTCTTACGCGACATTGGAGCTAAATTGATAAGAAGACCCTGACCGCACAGCCCCTGTACATACCTGGAATTTAACCCGGTGTACCTGTATGCAAAATGTGCGAAATCCAGGCAGCAGTTTCTGGTCATGGCGGTGCGGAAGTAGTTGCTTTGCTGTTGGAGGCTCGTGCCGACATCGAGTACAGAAGCAGTGAAGGACCCGAGAGTCTACTTGGAGTGGCAGTACCAATATCAGTTAATTGAAGTACATTTGTAGTTGTACATATGTGAAAATTCTTACTCGTGTCGCCGCTTAATTCTTCTGTAGTTGTAGTCAGAACCTATGTTCGTCCGAAACCCCGCGTTGTAAAAAAAAACAGGACCCTACAATACATCCGTGTGAATCCCCAGACAGCCAGTTCCAGTTGCATTTGCATTTTCTTTCCCGTTTGATTCTTCATTATTCTAAGCGACCCTAAGACCCTGAACCTCCAAAGGCCCAAGACGCTAAAGTCTGGTCGGGTTGTAAGTGCCCTGGGCTAACAAGACCGGCGGCAGCAGCCCCAGATCTGATAGATTCCTAGGCCCCGTGGTCAATGTTGTTTTTTGGCTTTGCGGGTTTTGGTCTGTTGAGGACTTATTGTTTTTGTTCTTCCGGTGCGTTTTAGTTTTTGTTTAGGTGTTTGTTTAGTTGTGTTTTAAGGGGTTTAGGTTTTAGGACTGTGGGTTTTATGGTTTCAGGTTTAGGGCTCGTGGTGTTGTAGGTTGTAGAGGGGAGGTTGGGGTCGAGAGATGGCTTGGGGTTTAGGGCTTGCTAGACTCACTGGACTTACTGGTTCTTGGGAATAGACTCCCTATATAAGCCCTATATAATAATTCCCCTATTCCAGATTTTCGCTACTAAGAACCATTACGTAGAAGTGAACAAAGTACAAATAACGCCCTGAAGGCCCACGTTTGAAGACCCATGCGTCATCTTAACCTTCCTAGGAGTCAGACTTCAGTTCCTGGTATCACACGCTTAACATGCAGAAGCGCAGCTAGGCAGCAGCCCGGTGCGGGAGGCGAGGAGGTGTTGATAGCAAATGGGGAAGCCTGAGCCGCAAGCCTCAAAAAGGTCCAGGTTCTCTACTGAACGCAATCATAATACGAATACTAATTACATCTAATTACTACTCATATCATAACCGTGCCTAACACTCCGTACTACTACAACACCAATACTGATTGCGAAGCTTAATACGCATACTAATTGCAAATAACTGTGCTTAATCTCAGTATTTAGTCCTATTGCCGTGCCAATACTAATGCTAGTACCGTTCTTTTAGAGTTCCCTAAGCCGTCGCAGAAGGAGCAGAGAACGTTTTGATGGCTGCGTGCGATTGTGGCAGGGATGTAGCCGAGCTGAATTGACAAGGGCGGTTCTCCAAATGATCTCTGTATAGCCCCTGGTAGAAACACCACACTCCCTGTGTAGCCTCCATATAGCCTTGGAAACCCTGAAGGGACTCTTAGTGTTGAGAAGCACCCAAGTTTGGGGATCAGGGGCTTCAATTTAGAGACTTCGGTTGAGGGTTTGGGTTTGCGTTACGGTCGAATTGTAAGGTCCTCATTCTCGTAAAGGATTGTTTTTCTTGTCGGGAGGCCCTAAACCCCTAATCCCTAAACCCTAAACCCCTAAACCCTGAACCCCTAAATCCTAAACCCCTAAACCCCGAACCCTGAACCCTCAACCCTTAACTGTAGGCGTTCAGTCATGGTCCCGCACAGTTGCGAAAGAGATTGGGCAGTCTTGATCTTGAGGCTGTCGATAAGGGTTTAGGGTTTGGGTTTGGGATTTAAAGCTCGGGGTTTGGGGTTTAGTGTTTGGGGTTTGGGATTTAAAGCTTGGGGTTTGGGGTGTAGTGTTTGGGGTTTAGGGTTCAGGGTTGGGGTTTAGGGCTCAGGGAATAGGATACTCTTAGCGGCTTTTGTGCTGCAACCGCGCACATTGTAGGTCTACCCTTGTTGGACTCCGTGTGGTCGTGATGCCTTTTGGCCATCTGTAAGACTGGGTTGCTGTTAAGGAACTTAGTAAGTAGGTTAAGGTTCAGGGTTTAGGGGTTATAGTCCCCCTTTAGTAGATGCAATATGGAGTCGATGGGGATCTTATTATAACATGCAGCCATATTCTATCTACTTAAGGAGGACCCTAAACACTAAACCCTAAATAGTAGTTTCCATTTTCTTTTCCATTATCTCAAGATAGCCCCAATATTCTATCTACTATAAGGGTTTAGGGTTTTCCCAAAGCATGAGATGTGTGTAGTCCTTCAAAACCACCACCCCAAGGTCCATACCCGCAGGACCTTTAGCCCCAAACCTGGTTCATAAAGCCCAGACCATAAACCCGAATTACACCAGGCTTTAGGGTTTAGGGTGTAGGATGAAATCCCACATAGTACAGTCCCTATATGCAACCTCTGTGTATGCCTTGTAAGGTCCTCAAAGAAGAGCCATAAACCCAGAACCCTAGACCAGAAACAGTAAATGCTAATCTTGTGGGTGCCCCAAACCCTAACCCCTAAACCCCAAACCCTAAGCCCTAAACCCTGAACCTTGAAACCTTAAGCCCTCAACGCTAAACCCTAAGCCCTAGACCCTGAGCCCTAGACCCTATACAACCCATTATAGTAGTTTCCATTTTCTCTTCCATTATTCCCATGTAACCCCAATATACCCCTTAGTATAACCCCTATGTAATCCCTATAAACCCTATAGTTTCCATTTCATTTTCCATTATCCCAATTTGGGACTGCCAACCATGCAAAGGTCGAAGTCCTTCGCCTGCTGTATGAGGCCAAGGCTGACGTGGATGCCACGCCGCTGGACTTAAATGGGGTTTAGGGCTTAGGGTTTATGGCTAAGGGTTCAGGGTTCAAGGTTCAAGGTTTAGAGCTTGGGGTTTCGGGTTCAGGGTTAGGGGTTTCGGGTTTAAGCAGGGTTTAAAGGTTAGGATTTGGTTGCGGTTCAAGACTTTGTTGCGGTTGAGGCCTTGGGGTCTAATGCTCACCTTAGCCTCTCCCGGGACCATCGACACTCATGGCCTTTTACCGCGAATTCTGGATGCAAAGGCTATTATTGATGGTATTGCTGGGCAACTTGAGGCGACCTCACCCGACCTCACCCTAAATGAAGGTTTATATAGAGAATAGCACCAAAATGGCCTTAAATTGAGCATTAAAACTATTCTAACTTACCATGGTATTGGGGAAGTCTAGCCAGGGTTCAGGGTATATTGGGATTATATAGAGGTTTTATATGCATGATGTAGGGAGTATATAGGGAATGTCTTGGGGTTATATTAGGGTTACATTGGGGTTATATAGGGATAGTGGGCCCCGGCTTGTTCCTAAAAGGGTTCAGGGTCTAGGGTAAACTCCTGCACGACTTCAGTTGAAACACGTAACCCCTGAACCCTAAACCCTAAACCCCTGTTTAAGGTTAAGGGGTGTAGGGCTTTAGGGTCAGAGCCCAAAGCTCTCTAACTGCCCAAAAGCTGAAGGCTTCGGTGTGCTGCATCCAACGGCATTTCGAGCAATGTGCGTTTCCTGTTGAAGGCACTGCCTTGGAAGCCCCAAAAAGGAGTACACTTAAGTCCCTTCAAAGGGGTCATTCAATGCTTAGGGTTTAGGACTTAGGGTTTAGGGTTAAAGATTAGTGGTTCTGAAAACCATGGATTTTTGGGATTGTTTCTACCATAAGGGTTGTGATTTTGACGTGGGGGACTCTCTAGGAAGCACCTTCGGGGGTACAACCATCTGGGCACAATCAACCCTAAACCCTAAACCCATCCAGAAACTCTTGGGTTACAATGAGATATGGGGTTCAGGGTTTGAGGTCAAGGGTGTACTGGGCCCCAGAAAGGAATTTCAACCCTAGCCTTATAAAAGGCCCCTAAACCCTAAACCCTCAGCCCTAAACCCCTTGGGCATAGGGTTAGGGTTTTACCGTTTAGGGTTTAGGGTTGGGTTTACAAGGCATCTGTGTGGGATTCCCTGCTACCTTGGGAAGTATCACCCCAAAACCCTATACATTCCTACAATATCCTCTAAATGCCCTATAGAATCCACATATGGCCCTTTACTAAAGCCTATCCATCCCTACATCATCCTCTACGCCCATATATATATATATATGTTCTTTCCGCAGCCAGCATGAGAACTGCTTTGTCACTGCGACACGCATATATGTATATGGGGGCCGTCCTAAAACCCTTGTTTACATTTTATATGCAGCAGGAACATGTGATAAGCAAAATCAGGGTTCTTTCTGTGGTTGCGAAAGATCCGCGAAGCACGGCGAAAGGGCCGGCGAAAGGGTACCATAACCTAAATAAGCCAGATGTTGTTCATCGATGTGGTGGGCAGGGTTTGGCTTCTTGCCGACTAGCATTGCTTTTCCATCCGATCTCATGTAACTTCACCTTCACAATCTTGCTTTAAGTTGCATGGGGAAGAACATGTTTTCAGAACATATTTGGTCAGATGAAGCTTTTGTGGGTTTTTCTTGAGCCGCGCAAGACCGCGAAAGGTCCTCGAAAGGCACGGCGAGAGGGTGGCTTTTCAGGTAAAGGAATACTGGACAACACCCCATATATATATATATACATATGCATATATATATATATTATGACAAGATTTGAAGGGACCTTGCGTTTCCATTTCATGTTCCACGTAGTTTTGCCCTTGGCCCCCCTCAGCTGCAAATCCTGAATCCTTAGCTCCTCAACCCTCAAACCCTAAACCCTCACTTAAACCCAAAACCCTTACTTGGGGGGCAGTGGGACTTAGTAAGGAGGTTAAAAACCCTTATAACCCATATAGTAAGCCCAATTTTCCCCATTATTGACCTCCTCATTAAGTCCCCTGACCCCCCAAGTAAACCCTAAAGCACACGGTTTAGTGGTTGCCAGGGTTTCCTTCGTTGGTCAGGCTCGCGCAGACCCAAATGCGGGCACTGAGGAGGGTTCCAGGCCACTGGCGGCTGAGAAGAGTTTCGAGGTAAGGATTCAGGATGTAAATCTAAGAGTTTAAGGTGTAAAGTTTAATAATCGTTCAGGGTTTAGAGTTTAGGGTTTAGGCAGTGTGAAGTTTAGAGATGAGGGTTTAGGGTTTAGATTTTGGGGTTTAGGGTGGTTACTGCCCCCATCCAGTAGCAGTTCATAATATGGGGCATCTGAGGGTCTTCATTTATTCGTACGATTTGTATTCTCCGATTATTGCTGGGGAGGGCATAGGGCTTCAAAAGGACGTCGGGGAGACGTTAGACCCGTGGGATCCCGAGGGTAGATCTTCAAAGGTTAAGGTTTAGGGTTTAGGGTTTAGGGTTTAGGGTTTAGGGTTTAGGGTTTAGGGTTGGTTCAGAGTTTAGGCGTTAGGGTTTAGGGTTTAGGCTTCAGGAGAGTCCCTCTTCTGGGGCCTGTCAAAGATGAAAGGGATACTAAACCGCCACAAGTACACCAGGTCCGTGGAATTGCAGCATGTGCCAGCTTGCTTCCCTAGGGTATATATAGGGATTATATAGAGATGATATAGGGATCATATGAGCTATAGTCTAGACTCCTTAAAGGGGGTTATATAGGGACTCTATAGGGGACTACTATAGGGGTTATTAAGGGGGATACTAGGAGTTTACACCATGGCTCATATAGCTACTGAGTGGAGGCCGCTTGTGGTGGCCGCTGCAGAGGGATTCCCTGACATTGCGACCTTACTGCTGGATGCTCGCGCCTACGTAAATCAGGGCACAAAGGAGGGTTGGACACCCCTGCTAGCTGCATCTCGGCGGTTTCAGTGGCAGACAGTTGTATGATTTTGGGTTTATACTTTAGGGTTTAGGGTTTTAGGGTTTAGGGTTTAGGGTTCACTCAGCCCAAGTTTTGGAACAGTAAAGGCCTCGGGGGCCACCTGTCTGCGGAAGGAAGATGGAGAAGTTGACATGTCGCAGGCAAGTTCTGGTCACAAAGAGGTCGTTTGCATCCTACTGGAGTCCAATGCAGTTTGGGATCAGAGCGACCGTCACGGGACGACGCCTTTGCTCATGGCATGTGCCCAAGGACATGAAGCAAATTCCGAAGATCATTGTAATAGTGGTATAATAGGAATATAAGAGGACCCTAATATAATCCCTATTATCCCTTATAGTCACTATTACTGGGTGGCGGGTCCATTGAGTCCAGTTTAGGGCCTTGTTTTTTTGAGTATGTAGAATGGGAATTTCCAACAGTGTGGATGTCCCTTGAAAGATCATAATTGCAACATACCTGTTGTGCTACCATGTGAAACTAACATGGACCTCTAGTTCTCGGAAAGCCTCACATGCGTATGACCATCTGGAGGGTTCCTTAGTGAGCCTGTGTAGCCCTTCAATTTCTTCGAGTTTACGGCCTAAACAGCCTAGACGGCCTAAACCCTCAACCCTTACCCTGACGCAAGCCTGCAACATGAAGACTTGCCCTCCACGAACTGACATGGCTCCCCTGTATAGGCCACGTTGTAAAGGGGCTGTCGCCATTTTCGGGGCCTTCTCCAGAAGAGTAGGCAAGAGTAGTTACAGTAGAAAGAAAACTAAGAATTAGCAAGAGTGGTAAGAGAAGTCAGAGTAGTAAGAACAGCATAAATAGTGTTCGTGGTGAGAGTAGTAAGCGTAGTAAGAGTGTACTTGGGGGTTAGGGGGACTTGGTAAGTAGGTTATTAACCCCTATAACCCATTGAGTAACCCCAATTTTCCCCATTACCAACCTACTTATTAAGTCCCCCTGACCCCCCAAGTAAGAGGGAGAAGATGAAGAGTCAGAGTAAGCGTTCTTGAAAACCCCGATCTGGCGCCCAAACATTCTCTCATTCTATATGAGCTATATCTAAACTCCTTAAGGGGGGTTATGTGGGGAATTGTATAGAGGTTAAGGGTCTGGGTTTAGGGTTTAGGGGGAGTATTTTAGGGGTTATGGAGGCGCTTACTAGGAGTTTTATAGCTCTTATGGGGTTTCCCAAAATATGGGGTACATTGGGGGTCCGTCAAACAAGGATGTCAGTATCAAGGCCTGTTGTCTGTTTAGTGCTCAGCTGGGTTGGGCGGGGGGAGAGTTTGGCAGAACCCTAAACCCTAGACCCTAAACCCTAAACCCTAGCAGCATGCGGAATAGCATGCGGCTTAAAGAAGCGCAGCTCGACGGGAAAACGTGCGCCGTTACAGGTCACGGCAGGTATCATTGGGCTTAGTGTTTAGGGTTGAGGGTCAAGTGTGAGGAACGAAGTCGAAGAAGTTTGTGAGTCAGATTGCTATAGTGATGGTATTGGGGCCGACAATATTTAAGCCATAGTCTAAACTCCTTAAAGGGTTTTATAGGGGATTATATAGGGGGCTACTAGAGGAGTTATTAAGCGGGATACTAGGGGTTTAGACTATGGCTCATGTGAAATTTTTTGGTGCGGTGCTCGGATGCACAGCCCGTCTCAGATTTGAATCCGGCTTGAACCTGCTAGATGCATCCTTCCCTTTATTGCCCCGGAAAGGCCAACGCCTGTAATGTGTCTTGGCTGCGTCAGTAGTTGCGGTTATGCTTTTGCATCCCGTAAACCTCCATGTGGTTGAGCTTACTCCCTGAAATCCTAAATCCTTCATTTCTGAATCTGAAGCCCCAGAAGGACATGAAGAAATTGTCGGTCTCTTGTTGGACAAAGCCAACGCTCGTGCTGGCGAGCTTGAAATCCGCGACTGGGATCCGTAGGGCCGAGTGCGTAGGATTTAGGGTTTAGGGATTTTGGGCTAAGGGCTCAAAGAGTTACATTCCTTCAAGCTAATCTGGAGCCATAGGGGTCTTTTCTAATATACTGCCAGTTGAAACAAGGTTAAAATTGAAGATCTGGGGATGGGTTTAGAGGTCTTTGGCGGTATCCTTTAAGCGGAAGGTCCATCGGAATCAGATGGACGCAATGGGCGTAGCGATAAGGGCTTTTGGGCCACCCCAACCACCCAACCAAGGACCCGGCAACGGTCATAAGATAGCCATAGGAGGGTTGGGTAGCCAAGTCTTTCTACTAGTTCAAGTTTTAGAAATTCAGGATTTAGGATTTGCGCATGTGAAATTCTGGGCTAGGGATTAAGGTCTGAGGTCAAGGAGATTTCCGGGGGCCGTTTACGACGTAGGCTCAGGGTCGTGAATTTCAGATTGGCTTGGGGCAGGTTCCGATATGACCAAAGTTAAAGCACGAGGGTCGAGGAAGAAGCGCGGGAACCCTACATCCCAAACCTGGATTGGGATTCTGGGTCTTTGTGTTGGGTTGAGGGTCCCCAATAGGCGTTTTTTTGAAAGGCCCGTGAAGATGTTCTCATTTTCGCCTGCCAAGTTGTGGAGCCCCTAAACCCTAAACCTAAATAGTCCCAATATAACCCCTATATAACCCCAATATTATGGTTGTCTCCATTCTATATTCCATTATCCCAATATATCCTAAACCCAGGGGAACCTTTGCAAGTTGCAGCCGCGAACAATCACCTGTCGATTGTGCGACGGCTGCTGGCAGCTGGGGATGTCTCTAACGGTGCTGACATGTCAGCTCCACTGCTCACAGCGTCTATGGGTCGCCTTTGCAATGGTTTTCTTGATTTTCTGACTCTTGCTGGGGCTTAAAGGAGAATGCGGGGAGTGGATCCCTGCAGGAAAACTTTTCAGTCATTCCCCCAAAATTCTTCGCAACAAGGCGAATTGTTGCAATAAATGGCCAGCTGCTTTACGGAGGATTTGACTTTCCTAGCAGCGTTCCAGGCTTAGCAAAGGCCAGTGCAGAACCTGCAAGCCCTGATCGAACACGTAAAACCTGGTTTGGCCGCCATATGCTAACCGTCCGCTTAAAGATGACAAGGAATTGTTCAACGCTTATTGTGGAGCTCATGAGAGGCAGGCAACTAAAAGAAGCTGATCCCCCGCCTCAAAACCAAAACACTCTTGGCCTCAGGACTTTACGTGGTCATTTTCACGTGGTTCGCGAGCTGATGCGTGTGGCTGACTTTGACCACAAACCCCTTGTCCCTCGCATGTCTTGTATTGGGATGGGCCGGCTGTTGGGTCGCGTTGGGCTTCTATGAGGAGTTTGCATACTTGAACAGGTGATTAGTTCACATGAGTTCAATGGGTTCTCATCGGTATGAAGCCACCGTTTAGGCTGTGAGCAAAGTTGTTGCTCCGGTGCTGCTGCAGCTGAAGAAGATGTCCATAATCCTACTCACTTATTAGATACCGGCCACCCTCTAATTCTTTTCTGAAAGTCACCCAACAAATATTGTGTGGAGGCATTTTTATTTACCTGTGTAGTGGGAGTGGTTTAGTATAATACACGGGGAAGGTGATTGCAATCAAATGACCAGGTTCCCTTGATTCTGGGACTTTTGTTGGTTGCGGACCTGAGGAAACTTATGAGTTGGGGCCTAGTCAGTTGCAATGCAGTTTCACATGGCAAAGGGTCATAGTCACAAGCCCATATCCCATGCCTTTTTTTTCTGTGTGGGGGCCTGGCTCACGAATGTCACCCACCTTCCGAATTCTTTGGGCGTGGCCTGGGCTTTGGTAGGAGGCCTAAACTTGGAGCCCTAGACCCTAGACGGTGAACCTCCTGAACTAGCTCAATGCACATCCCTGCTCAACAGCAACATGTGTCAAAAGCATCATCCTCGTCTGGTACCCTATATCTGGGGCCGTATGATACTGGGAGCCCCACAAGTACCGCTATTTTCACAACTTGTTACTGTTTCCTGTTTGCGGAGGGTCCGGGCTCCACTGGTAAGAGCTTATCCCAAAACTCCATGCGTCAGATTCAGCCCTCGAGGTTTCAAGGCTTCCACTGCAAGGCTGACAAGGCATGGCTGCATAACTGAGGCAGCGGGCTCCTCACAAGGGGGTCACAAGAGAGTAAACCGCAGCTGCCGGGACCCTCAAAAATGTGCCGCGCGATCCACACAGTGACGGTGTGTACATGGACAGAGCACGCGCGAAAAAGAGACAACTATCCAACCGGAACACCAGAAGACGTGCACAAGCCATGCCGGGCATTAGCTCAGCATCCAGCAAGCCTTGCTTCAAGGGTGTTTTGGATACACGACAACCCCCCATATTCCCTCATTTGCACTTACAAGCGAAATGGGCTTGCAGTTTCTTGCATGCCTGATAGAAGACCATCTCACAAGGCAAGCTGCAGGCTATCGGTGTTTCCAGACGCCACTGCAACGAAGAGTAGGAAAGTAAAGGGAAGCAACACGATTGTCAAAAAATGTCCGAACTATTTCTCATTGAAGCGGGCGTCTGCGAGGCATGTCATGACTAGTGAAAGACCAAGGGCAGCGCAGGACCTGTAAGGTTGCTGCTGCTGCCTTGGGCAACTTCAGGCCCTTGATATTGCAACAATCTCGCGGGATCCAAGCGAAACGCATGAAGCGCGAAATTGTCTTTGCAGAATGTCCAGGGTCTCTGTCATGACTGGGCAGAATACCCACGTCCTCATAACTTATAAGCGTAGGCAACCTGCATATGCGGGCAAGCTCTATTAACTATTAGTCCTGCATGCCAAGCCCTGAACCCTAAACCCCAAACTCTACCCCAAGACGTCCGTTCTCCCCTTCAGGGTCCTGCTTTTTCTTAGTGGATAGCAGGCAGTGGAGGAATGGATTCCTAGAGTACCACCTATAGAATCTCTTATAACTGGCCTGATGACCCCACCCACACCTCATTGCCTGCACCCCCTAACCCAAACAATACATCACGTAGTACTTCCCGCCTTGTGCTCCACTCCTGTTATTAATCTAGGTACCCCCAAAAAGGAGCCCTAAGTCTCGGAAACCTCCGGAGTCATGCCTAATTGCCACCCCAAACCCTAAACCCGGAGCCTTAAATGCTAGACCGCAACCCTCGAACCCCAAACCCTCAAACCTAACCCCTCGGTCCTAAACCCATGAACCCTAAATCCTAGACCCCAAATCCTCAACCTAAACCAAGGTCCGGCTTGCCAGAGCGAACGGGCACTTCCGCGTGGAGCGGGCGCTCTTGGAGGCCGCTGTTTAGGGTTTATAGTCCCCCTTAAGTAGATAGAATATGGGGTATATGGGGATCTTACTAGAATATACCCCAAAGCCATATTCTATCTACTTAAGGGGGACTATAGGATTTCTTGTTTTGGGCTAAGGGTTTAGGGGTTTAGGATCTAAAGGGTTTACGGATTTAGGGATTTAGAGTTTAGGGTTTCGGGTTGTGGTTTGGGGATTTAGGATTCAAGGTTTAGGGATCTTGGGGGATTGCGGGCTGGCCGCTTGGGATGGCCTTTACCCCGCGGTTGTATAAGGACACCTGTTCCTAATTCAATGTGTAGGCTTTTAAAGTAGCGCGCAGAGATCATGAGGATTTGGGATTTGAGTTTTTTTGGGCTTGGGATTGTGATCTTGGGTTTTGGATTTTAGGGTTCAGGCCTTCGGGTTTTAGGATTTGGGGCTAAGGTCTACCATTTTTGCGGCTTGAACCCTCAACCTGCCATCATGGCAAGCCGACCCTGCCACTCACAGTCCCAACTCTTGGGTATAGTACTTTATATATAGATTATTATCTTACTAGGTTTAACCACCAAAAAAAGCACCACGCAAATAAGGGTCTTGGATCTGTGAGGAACCCATGAGTCTGGTATTCATATAAGTCCTAAAGGTTCCTTCGGTGGCTTCTTTTAAATTTGTGCATGGCCCGAGGTGCCCAAACCTTGGACGATGCTAATGTAGTACTAAAAAGCTTATGAAGGGTTTAAACTAGAAGCCCTGAATCCTAAAATCTAAGCCCGAAGCCCTAAACTCTAAGCGCCAAACCCTAAACCACAACTACGTAAAAGCCTTCTGGTTTTCTAAAAGAACACAATTATTACTTTGTTGGGGTTACCAAACCCTAAACCCTAAACCCTAAACCCATTCCCTTCTAATGCCTCTGTGGACTGGGCCTGCCCAAATACCTTCAACCTGGGCTGAGTTCAGTCCGGCGGTCCTCTTAGGGTTTAGGGTGCAGGATTTAGGGTTTAGGGGTTAGGATTCAGGGTTTAGGGTTGAAAGTGTAGGGTGTAGGATTTAGGGTTTAGGATTTAAGCTTTAGGGTTCAGGATTTGGGGTTTAGGGTTTAAAGCGGGGTTTAACCAGGACCCTCTTAGTGCCCTTAATTGAGGATATGTTGCCTAAGGGCGGGTACTTGGGAGCGGATGGAGGGTACGAGGCGGGTCCAGGAAGTTTAGGGTTTAGGGGTTTAGAGTTTGAGGATTACATAAGAGAATCAGCCGAAAAAGAATATGGACTTATATAGGCACTCGCATCTACTCTAAGCACTAAACCTTAAGTTTTGGGCTTTGGGTTTGGGGCTCCAGGCCCCGGATCCAGAGTTTAGGGGTTCAGATTGTTATATGCGCTATAGTCGAAACCTCTTAAAAGGGGCGTATCTAGGGGACTATATTGGGGTTATTAAGGGGGATACAAGGGATACAAGGAGTTTAGACTTTGGCTCATATGTACAGTGCAGGATTCCGGGCTTAGGCTTGCAGGTTCAGGGTTTGGGGCTGGGAGCTTAGATGCCCCTAAACCCTAAACCCTAAACCCCTAAACCCTAAACCCTAGGGTTTAGGACTTTGGGTTTCTGATTTGGGGCAAAGGGTTCAGGGTAGCAAAACACATGCGAATCACCGCATTGCTAGGCTAACAT